TTTCAAAAAAGAATTAAGAATGAAGGAATAGATCCTGCTGGAAAAGATACGAGAACTTTATACTCTGCAAAGTAAATATTCTAGAGGTCCAGCTTAACGTTTTTTTTATTATAATAAATAAACACTATTTACTTCCATAAGGTGCTATAACTTTGCAGCTAGTGCATACTCATGCCACCCACTAGACCCACTGTGCAAAGGGAAATACGGAGATGGCTAATCTCCAGTTTCTTTCTGATCCTTGATTTGCATGAGTGTTGATGTATTCCAAATAAACAAAAGCTGGAGTTCAAATATTTATTTTTTAAAAATTAGACTAAACTGAATACGGATATTTAATCTGATTTCATAATTTTCTGAGGAGACAATAATGAGGAATGTGTAGGAAAGGCAATGTTTCTATGCTATAGGTACCAAACCTGGATTTTTAAAAATAAATATTATTTTTAGGTCATAAACTATATGGAAGATTACTAATACCAAGCCATTTTCTTCCTCTCATCTGTTTTTATTACTTATCTTTCTCTTCTTTACTCTTAAATTTGGCAGACTTCTGACAACCCATGCTAATAAAATAATACAGCTATAGGTAATTCAAACAACTGAAGAGATTTTCAGTCCACATATGTATGATTTTAGATGCCTGATTTAGAACATCTCACTACATGTGCTTTTACACACTCATTGTCCTGACATCATGAATACTATTAAGGGGAGACAACCTAGAAGGGGCAGGCATTTCCAACCTGGGATAAAAAAGTGACTACAAATAATTCTCTTGCTGACAATCAAGAGTTTATGATAAATAGCTCTGATGTTTACATAAAGGTTTCCCAAAAAGAAACAAACAAATTAACAATTTCAGTTTGGGTTTTGTTTTCTTTTTCAGAATGTGACTTATTTTAATTATACAAAGTAGTATAACAAAATAAACTCTTTTCTGCACAACAGGATTAATGGTCATGTAAGGCAAATAAGACAATGCTTCTCTTTGCCTTTAAATTAAAATACTATGAACCTAGATCATAAAACATAAATGGCCTTCAGAAAAGCCATCAGTTTTCTTTAGGATATTGTGACAGCTACTCTATTTAATGGGAAATAACACTCAGACAATCATTTGATAAGTTTTCTATGAATTCCAGCATTGATGGTACCACAAACATAACTGCCATGATTATGACAACTGAAAAGCAAAAGTAAAGCAAATTCAAAACATTAATCCTCATAAGCAGTATAAGGAACAACAAAAGTGCTGAGCTGCAGGAAAATGAACAAAAATTTCATATCACGAGAACAAAGGTTGTATAAACTATATATCTTATATCTTGAAGATCACCTTAATGACTACCTATAAAATATAAAATTTCCTAAATGCTCTCTGGTTTATAGATACTTCTTTTACAGCCCATTTTTCCTATAAAATTGCAGCAAAAATAGTTAAAATTGTTTACCTTCTTCTTAAATATCCATAGTACTTGTCAATTGCATGCCACTGTGTGAATCTATTGGTCATCATACAGTTTTAAAAATAGTGAAAAATATTTGGGCAGGGGGAAGTGGCTAAGATTACAAACATGATACAGCCTGCGGAATCAGGCAGAGAAGCAGCTAACCTAAAACAAAAAAACCAAAATCTTTAAAATTCTGGGCACTTTACAAACTAAAATATTCATGTTCTTCTATCACTAAGAAAATGTAGCATCCAAATATATCCAAAAGGCTCAGATGAGTTCTGTATTATAGAGATTCAACATTTTTATGTTCATCGAGAAAGCTAGAAAGTAATACTAACTTGAAAAGACTACCATCTCAAAGTAAAGGTGATTTATTGAGCACCTTAAGAAGAAATGGAAACTCTTTTGAGCTAATTGTGACCAACAGCTGGTCTGGATGTGACCACACTTGATAAGAAATAAATAAATCATATCAGAGAGATATTGAAGAAGGAACCTAATATTAAAAATGGAACCAGATCCAATGAAAAATTAGATTCACTGAAAGAAATAAAATATGAATAGATTTGCACATACAAAAAAGGTAAACCAAAGAAATTTTGGACTTTTATACTATGTGACTCAATCCAAAAGTTATTCCAAGGAAAAGGCAGAGGTGCAATAAATTATCATCATCTGGGAAGCGTTCACCCAAATGAGTTTTAATATTTTCCAGGAAACACAAGGCACTTGCTTAAATCTTTGACTATCTACACATCCACCAGACTAAAAGTCATGATACGATTCCATCTGTACTCTAATCTGAATAAAGCCACCTGGTATGTACCCTTGCATAAAAGTCTAGGTAAAACACATGTTTACTGAATGTCCCCCCAACTCCCCCACCCAGTAACTATGTTATTATAATTAACATCAGTAATTATGATGCTGATTTTCACTAAATTACAAAAAATAAAATGTCATGCTGCCAAGTATAACTGATAGTAGAAATTATGTAAGATAGGCCTAATTGAATCAAGTCAGAATGTAAGACCTAAGAAGAAGATGATGCCAAAATGTTAGTTACCTGTATTTGATGAATAAATGCAAACAAGCCATGAAACAGCATCTGAGTACTTTAATTCTGACTGTAATGTATTCCAGAAAGGTCACTGATGCCCTAACCAGTGTGAAAGCCTAGTGTAGTTAGAGAGAAACAAACCTTATGCCCATGGCTTCTCTTCAACTTCCTCTACATGGCAGCACTGTTTCTGGCAGCATTGCTTATAACAAACTTGCTCAAAGGTTAAAATCTAAGTATAAGTAACATGATTCTAAGAAGGCAAAGGGATTTTTTTTAAAAGGTTAATTTAACATATCTCAGCACTCTTTAGCAGCTGGAGTACTAAAAAGAAGGCAATACTTGTCTCAATGAAAAAAAAAGAGAAGGATGAGTAAAACTGTATTTATGGTTTTGTTCTAAAAGCAGCCATAGTTTTGGCTCAAGGCATAGCAGAGAGGGAATTTCTCTTGAGTTGCTATATTGACGGCCACAAAACAAGGAAGACATCCACTGGTAATAAATGCAATCTCTTATTGCAAGAGGATATTTTTAAATTATTCCTTTAAAGTGCGGCCAATAGCTATTTTAGCTAGTTCTCTCTTTTACTGAGGTGGCCAACTCCACTTGTTATTCTCCTCTAAATAAAGCATTAAAGTTTTGAAAGTGGCTAGCTAGCCACCTCCTCCACATATGTTTCCAAAGAACCAAAGATTTCCTATAGAAGAATTAATTTATATGCCTTTTTTGGAACAAAAACGTAGTATGACAATACCATGGAACAATAAAGAAGAAATTGGGAAGGTAAGAGATAAAGGAAGCACAGATATTAATTTAGGGAAAGAAAAACTACCTGAGATAAAATTTCCCTAAAAGGGTAGGGGTTAAGTGACATGAACTCTCACCTCTTTACCCTTCAAAAAGAAATTTCTAGGCTTTTAATAATTTCAAGGAATCAAAATATCTGTGTATATATTTCACCCTAAAAGAATCAGGAAAATTGCATTTTTTGATAATATTTGGTTCAGGTGTAAGAAAGACATTAAGATTAAACCTCTTATAATATCAGAGGGGGGAGAATCTGCAAATGTCATCTTTGGTAGTAATGGGCTAAGAGCTATAAAATAACAATTTAAATCATGGGAGGCATCTTTTTTCAATTCTGTGGCTTTACTATAAAATATTTAATTCAATGCTTGGTTACTTAGGCTCATCAATTATTCCCGCAGCTCCGTTAAAATCTAGTTAGCATCTTCTATAATAAAATTCTACAGTGTTAAACACTACGTAGATGAATGAATATATTAGCAATAAGACGATGATCAAAAAATGCTGTGAAATTCAGCATCAAGATGTTAGCAGCATACTGCATTACTAAGATTAGAAGCCTACCTGCAGTTTATTTCTAAAGATTTTTCTTTTTGGTGGTGGCGGGAGGGGGAATGAGAAAGGTACATGCACTAACCTAAAATACTTGCCCTTAAAAAGAATTCATTTGTATGCTGTGTTCATCAGTATGTGTGGAAGGACCTGGTGTTTTTAATCACTATGGAAGCTGCTACCCATACAAATATTCATGTTTTAGGAAAGCTTAGGTCTCCACAATACTGGTTATACATTCTTGAATTTTTATTTGGAAACAAATCAGCTAACCAACCTTGAAAGAGCCAAAATGAAAAATAACAGTTTTTCCTTCTAAGGGCACACATTAGAAGCTTACTATATAATTTTCCCTTGGGGACCTGCCACAAGGCCTTTTGGCAATTCATAAATCAGCCCCATTATACCAAATTTGGCTTCATAATGAATATTAAGGGAGAGTCCTGAATAATTTGACAACTGTAAATAACTAAAATGTCAAATAGTAATTTTTTGAAAAGAGTAAAATAATTCATCCTCTAAAATATAAATTCTTAGCTGCGCTCTTAATAACCTCCATGGCACACAGAAGGAAAGACGATATGAGGAGGCTTCCAGCACGGAAAGCTATAAAAGGCTTTTTCCTTAGGGAAAAAAAAATAAATAAAAATTTCATTTAGGTAAAGAAACAAGAAAAGATTCAGAACTTGTATATAATTTGTCTTTTTTTTGTATAATCAGTGCTTTATAAAGGTTTCCTAAGTTTTAAACCTTTAAACACAATCTACTATAAAGTGGGAGGAATTCATAATTATAATTCCTAAAACCATATAATCAATTTGTGTTGGTGAACTCATACATACTAGTATCTTCTACTCAGGGACACATTAGATTGCTATGAATCTTTATAAGAATGCTTTGAGTTTTTCTTCCTTTCTACTTCTACCTTATTATAGCTACACTTTTCTTAACTTCCTTGCAGTCAAAAACCAGACCACCTGGGATGCTGTTCCTCTAGCTTCTCTTCAGCTAAGGATACAGGCAGAGAATAGGGGAAGCGGGGAAGGAGAGGGAGGGAGATGAGAGATGAAGAAAAAAAGAATCCTTGATTATCCAGCCTCTTTGGCTATTGTTTTCTTCTTTTCCCTTCACTGAACATCTAATTCTTTCTTTTTGACCCACTTCAATTTTCCATCATAGTAGGCAGAACTACATCTTGAGAAATCTTACAATGATCATAGGAGATTCAGTACAAAAAAGATGAGCTAATAGAGTCTAAAGTAGACTGAAGGATGGGCAATTTACATGTAGCAAAACTTTTTCTTTCATCCAGTCCGTTTAAGAGAGTTTCAATGTAACCCAATCTAGACTCATCTGTTCTGAGCCTCTCAGGAATGAACTATTTTCTCATTTACATTCTATCAGACAAACCAACTCTCAAAAAACTTATACTCTAAATCTTAGATATGAAACAAGTAGGGAAGAGATGGGTATAGACTGTATTAGCTCACAAGATTCACACTATAAAGTACACTGACTCAAATTTTCTCTCATCTTTCACACCTGCACACTCACTCGAACATACATACGAGACATAAAAATTGTGCAAGATCAAGCATCAGCTTTCTATTTTAAAAGCCTTAATTAAAAAAAAGTAGAGAGGCTCACTGCAGTTTCTTTAAAGGAATATTCAGTACTACAGTACTCCTTTAAAAAAATTCATAACTCAGTGTTAAGAACACAGTAGGTAATTGCTGCTTGACAATTACATAACATTACTGAGAGCATCCAGTGCCAGCTATGGATATTAACAATAAGGAAGAACCACCTGACGATATAAAGGAATAATCTGTAAATGATGTCACCAACTCTAACAAATTTGTTAATAATATTGACTATGATATATTATTCATCCTTGCTTCATGATCACATGAAATAGTTAGTATCTTTTTAGGTTACATACTGAAGAGCAGCACTTGCCCTACTGCACAAAAATTTGCCCACATGGATGCTCTAAAACCCCTCAATATATAGCTGAGAGGTCTTGTCCTACTCAGTGCCAAATGTCTGCAGTGCAGTCATTGCTTGAGCAATGGCTGCACATTAGTAGGATTAAATAAATGTACAAAGTATTCCCTTAAAATGGTTAGGGGGTACTTCTGCATTCAGATGTAGAATACGATAACCCAGGAAATGGAAGAGGAGAAACAGGAAATAGTCCTCAGGTTATTGATTAAAGCAAAGTTTGATACAGATATCCCCTCTTGTAGGCACTCAGCGGGTAGAATGTAGCCACAACAAACTTCCCATCAAACATCCTTCCAGTCAGTAATTTCTGAGCAGCTTTGGAATCACCAGCATTTGCATACTCAACAAAGACCTGTAAAAGGACAGAGAAAACAAAGTAACTTCATTTCCATCAAGATTGTTTTAGAACACCGCTTCTCCAACTTTAATGTATAAATATCACTTGGGGACCTTGTTACAATGCAGATTCTGCTTCAGTAGGTCTAAAGTGGGGCCTGAGTCTCCATATGTCTAAACAAACTCCCAGATGATGCCAAAGCTGCTGGTCCATGGACCACATTTTTGAGCAGCAAGGTTTAGAATACTTCCTTAAAACTCAGTTCAATTCTGAAAAATCTATCAAAGACAAGTTGGTGAAAAATGTACAACCTTACAGGAGTGTTGAATAGCACTACACACTTGCTAAAGACAGGGCCAAACAGCCCAGACAGCAACTGCATTTCAACAGTGCCTCAAAGATAATCTACACTTTCAGAAGTGGAAGGAGGAAAAAATACTGGTCAAAAGCCACTGGAAATTATACTTATGACAAAATTTGTAGAAGCCATAACTATAGTAAGGAAGAAGTTTAAAACTAGGTAATTTCTTTTTCCAGAGCATCTGAATTCCTATCTGAGACAGGCAGAGGAAATAGCATAATAATTTATTAGTTCTTTTTGATGACCTAAAGCAAAAGTTACAGGGTGGTGAAATGACATCCTCAGTTACCCATAAATTTGTGAACCAAGGAAAGGACCACCCCTCCTTCCTCAGTTGTACGCCTCACTTGTTATGTCAACGGTCTTCAACCTGGGGTATGAGCATCCTAGGACACTCAGAGATTTTCAAAGGGGAAGCAAGAATAGTTAGTTTTAAGGAAATCAATTTCCAGATACTCAACTTTCATTTGTACCTTTTCCTAAAATTGGATCTCTCTGGAAGTTCAGGCAGGTTATCCTTTCTCATTTAGCCTTTCATAGGAGCCCTTCTCTCACTTGACAAAGCAGTTATTACACCAGGGTATAAAAACCTCCAGGGCATCAAAAGAAGAGGGAACTCCATATATAGTACTTTTTTTTTTTTTTATAATTTTATTTATTTACTTCCCCCCCGCCCCACCCCAAAGCCCCAGTAGATAGTTGTATGTCATAGGTACACATCCTTCTAGTTGCTGTATGTGGGATGCAGCCTCAGCATGGCTGGAGAAGCAGTGCGTCGGTGCACGCCCGGGGTCCGAACCCGGGCCGCCAGCAGTGGAGCGTGCGCACTCAACCGCTAAGCCACGGGGCCAGCCCTATAGTACTTTTTTTTAATGGAATCTTCTTTCACTGGTAAACAAAGCACCATGCCCTGCCTATGACTGGTCACTCCCTGCCTTATGCAAATATTTCTGTTAAGGATGATACATGATGGTAGACCTAGGGTATTTCGACCTGTGATGGGATTTCCTGAATTCATATATATTGTAAAATGGAGAGGTGGAACTCATTTTGCCTCTTTTATTCCATGACTATTTTCAAGCCATGCATTACTCTTAAAGACAAAGTAGAGATCATTCAGTGCTAAAAATTGCCTTTTTTACATATGTAAAGGTAAGTGGTGCTTTTCAGCTACTCTTAAAACCCATCCCTAAACTGTGTCATTAACTGGAAATAAAAGCACTTCCAAATGGCCAAAGCAGTGCAGTCAGGCTGTTTATTTTAAATCTAACTGCATGGGAAAAACACTATTGATAAAATTTTATGTGATTTCTTTCAGAGAAAGTGTACTTCATATAATAAGGTAGTTGTTATATGAAGTAAGACCTATATTACCAAACTAGATCATGAAATATATAATCTCATCAGTTAATGCTCATTTTATTCATCTTAGAAGTACTTAATATTTTATAAAAATTTTTTTACAAAAAATAAGTGTGTTAGCTGTAAGACCAGCTAGTTTCTAGCAATATATACTCTTTCATTAAATACAAAGGGAAAGTTAGATGATGTCCAATGAAGATATGAAGCTCTTCCTGATTTTTTTAACCTGAGTCTTAATTACTCCCAAATCCATACACCGAAGTTCAATAAATGAGTAGACATGCACTTACAGAAAGAATACCATCCTTTCTATCATACTCCTTGCTTCACAGATAACCTATAATTTTATACATTATATCATTCCAAACTAAATAAAGAGGAAAAGCATCTTGTTTTTACAATTTATTGTGAAATTAAATTATATTAAAGCTATATCGTTTTAATCTTGACTACTTTTTGTAATTATAAGATGCATTCCATAATTTATTTTCCAGTGTTTCTATAATATTCCTTAAAAAACCATAATATGTTAATTTTTTTTTTTGTTAGGAAGATCAGCCCTGAGCTAACATCCATGCCAATCCTCCTCTTTTTGCTGAGGAAGACCAGCCCTGAGCTAACATCTATTGTCAATCCTCCTCCTTTCTCTCCCCAAAGCCCCAGTAGATAGTTGTATGTCATAGTTGCACATCCTTCTAGTTGCTGTATGTGGGACGCCACCTCAGCATGGCCTGATAAGCGGTGCATCGGTGCGCGCCTGGGATCGGAACCCGGGCCGCCAGTAGCAGAGTGCGCACACTTAACTGCTAAGCCATGGGCCCGGCCCCCATAATATGTTAATTTGAACTGACAAATTCAAATGAAGACTAGCTTTGCCAACTAGGTAACAGACTTTTTCAATAATCTAAAGAAGTTAAATCTGTGATTCCAAGAGTTCATGAAAAATTGCTTTCACTCTCCTTTAAATGTCAGTGGAAGCTTAACATAGCAAATTTCTTCTTAATGAAGACTTACTTTTTTCGTATCATCTTAAAGCTGGATACCTCTCCCTCAAAAATATTCCACCTGTTTTTCTCTTCTGTGTTTCCCATTTCATTTTGACCACTGAAGTTAATACTGAGTCAGATCATGTTAGTCCTTAATTCAAAATTTTCCAATACCTTCCCTTCTCATTCAGAGTAAAAGCCAATGTTGTCTCAATGGCCTACAAGGCTCACTCTACTTGATCTGCCCCCTACACTCCCTTACCTCTTTGGTACTACTCTTCTCCATCTTTCTGCTCTGCTATAAGCGCAGTGACCCCCTCAAACCTGCCAGGCATACTCAAGGCCTTGGAACTTGCTGTTCTCTTTTCCTGGAATTCTCTTCCTTACCTCCTTAAAATTTTGACTCAAATGTAACCTCAATATGTACTTCCCTACCTCCCTGTTTAAAACTGTAATCCATCCCACCACAATACTCTTCTTCAGTTTCTTTTTCTCCATAGTACTTATCCCTATATATTCGTTTGTCTGTTATGATCACTGTTGTATCCCAGTGCCTAGAACATAAGAGACACTCAATAAATATGGGTTGAATAAATAAACAGCAGTGAGGGCCAGCCTGGTGGTGTAGTGGTTAAGTTCCCATGCTCTGCTTCAGCAGCCTGGGGTTTGCACGTTTGAATCCCAGGCGCGGACAGAAGCACCACTCATCAAGCCTTGCTGTGGTGGCATCTCACATACAAAATAGAGGAAGATGGACACAGATGTTAGCTCAGAGACAATCTTCCTCAGCAAAATGAGGAGGACTGGCAACAGATGTTAGTTCAGGGTCAATCTTCCTCACACTCACACTCACACACACACACACACACACACCCCCCAGCAATGATGCATTTAGTACGCTCCTGACAGTGAATGAGGTAAATGCCATTATTACTAGACTTGCAATAACTTTTTACTGAGACAAGAGCGAAATTTCTTTTTTTTTTCAGTTGCCAAGAATTTTCATAATATTGAACCATAAGATAAAATAATAATCCACAATCAGAGGTGATTTCCCCACCAGGGGATATTTGGCAGTGTCTAGAGACATTTTCGCTTGTCACAACTGAGGAGGAGGGTGGAGGAAAGGCATCTAGTGAGTTAGAGACCAGGGATGCTGCTAAACAAAGAATTATCCAGTTCAAATGTCAATTATGTTGAGGCTGAGAAACCCTGAGACAGAGTAAAACAATATTCTGTTTCCTAAGAAATAAAAATACCACAGATAAAAGAAAGATTTCTCTTATATTCTTTGCCATATAATTTAATTTAGAATTGCAGAATTTCTAAAGAAAACTCTATGATCACAGTTTTAACCCATATGTCTTACAGATGAAAAAACTAAGGGTGACCACAAGCTAGTCATGCTGAGACTGGAACTCAGATTTCAGGCTTCTCAGTCCAGTGCACTTTCCTTCTTTAAATTATCACTGATAATTCTATTACAGTCAGAACCTAACCTAAATGGTTTTCTAATTCTACTTAATTAGAACAAAATTGGGCCAAAATATTTCTGTAGCTGACCCTGACCTAAATTAGCATATAATTCAGTTGGTGTCACCGTTTACAATGGCTTATAAGTAGATTAACACTTTTTTTGTGTGTGCGAGGAAGATCAGCCCTGAGCTGACCTCCATCGCCAATCTTCCTCTTTTTGCTGAGGACGATTAGCCCTGAGCTAACATCTGCGCCCATCTTCCTCTATTTTTGTATGTGGGATGCCGCCACAGCATGGCTTGATGGGTCCATGCCTCGGATCTGAACCTGTGAAGCCCGGGCCACCGAAGCAGAGCACACAAACTTAACCACTACACCACTGGGCCAGCCCCAAAAGTAGATTAATACCTTTTTGAAAACAAATTTTATCTGATAAAAAAATGCATGCCTATAATAGAACTTTTGGAAAAAAGTGAAAAATATAAGAAAAACATCCGTAATGCAAAATTCATAATCCCTAGCAATATTTTGTGTACATCTTTCTATAGAACTAAAACATTCTGTACAGGATTTTAATAACCTCTGAATCATTCTGGAATTATGAAAACATTCACTTACTTGTCCTCTGCCAGGATTTTCCTTTGGAACAAGCAGAGACACCACTGGTCCATATTTTTGACACTCCTCTTTTACATCTTCTACAACATCTGGTTATTAAAACATATAACAGTAACCACTGTGATGTGATTAATAAGCATTCATTATTTTAAAATTTTAAATCATCAAAGAATTCAGATCTAAGTAATGAGGTCATTTTCTATGCCTTCTAAAATTAAGCTTAAGAATAATATAAATTCAATGCATTTAGTAATTTTCCTTTTATATTTTAAATTTAATATTTTGAACAGTTAATACATTCAAATGATTCAAAATCCAAAAAACAGTATTCTTTCCACTTTCCCAAGAGCCATTCCATTCCCCTCCCTGAAGGCAACAAACATTATCAGTTTCTTTGGTATCCTTTCATAAATATCATAAGCATATACCAGCAAATATGATCACATATGCTTTTTTTAAGTAAAAAATTCCAATCTTGCTTTTCTTTATTAACATTACAGCTTTAAGATCTTTCAATATCACCACATGAAATTTTCTCATTTCTTTTTAAGGCTTTGTAGTATTTCACTCTACGAATGGCCAATAAATTCTCTAATATGTTCCCTATTGCTGAATAACTAAACCATTTACAAACTTTTTGCCATTATAGATAACTTGTAACAAACTTGTACATATCTCATCACTTGTGTATTTCTAAATTGACTCTTTAGAAATGGAATTGCTAGGTCAAAATTGATAAGAATTTGTAATTGTTAGTATTACCAATTTGCTTTTCATAAAGGTTTACCAATTTAAACTCTCTCCAATGATGTATAAGAATGTGTTTTCCTGTACCCTATCCACAAGAAGGCTATTAAATATTTTCTTCACTGTCAATGTGAAAGGTAACAAAGACATCATAATATGGTTTTAATTAGCATTTCAATAAATGAGAAAGAAATATATGTGTGAAATACACTTGTATATCCTTTCCTATAAACTATTTATATCCCTTACCCATTATCTACTGGGTTGATTTATAGGAGCTCTGTCTGTGATAAGAGCTGTAAATATTTTTTCGTAGACTGTCATTTGTCTTTTATCTTTCTTATGGTGATTTTTGTCAAGGTAAAATTTGTTGAATTATTATTTTACTGCTCCAAGTTTTGTGCATATTTAAAAGGCCTTCCCCACTCCAGGAATACTTTTTTAAAAATCTCCAATGATTTTTTAAGTTAAAAAATTTTTTCCTTTATTCTCTCCTTTCCACCTACCCTTTTTTCTTCCTTCTTTGTTTTTCTTCCTTCCCTCTTTTATTCCCTCCCTTACTTCTTTGTTTTTTTAATACTTTAACCTTTACTTGATTTGGAATTTATTTTGGTCTAAAGTGGAAGACTTGAATCTAACTTCTTCCCCTACCCTCAAACATGACAAGACAGCTGTTCCAACACATGTGATTTCTAGCTAAGCAAATTTACCCAAAAAACTATTAAGGGTTATTTGATGATGTCCTTGCTAATCAGAACAAAGGTATTTAATAATACTATATTGTCTGTTGCATTTTAGTTCACATAAGACTCTTCTTAAACACTAAGATTTAATAGCAACATTTAAACATTTAAATACTCAGTGTATTTAGAAATAGAAAAAAAGTGTTACATAGCAAGATACAAAGAAAAAGAATAGGTATAGTCTCCCTAATGTTTAGTCAAGAAAGCCCAAGCTTGAGTTTTATAGAGATAAAAATTATTAGGAGGAGACAGAACTAGATGATGAAGACAGTACATTGACAGGCTTAAAAGACATAAGTAGTCTTTTGAATTTGATACCAAGAGATTATTAAGAACCACTGTACCATAATGACCTGATGCAAACAATGCTGAGAGCAAGACTATCCTTTACAGATAAATAGGCGTCCTGAAAAGTCGAGGCTGGAGACTCTTACAACTGTCACATATTCAAAGAAATTATGTTTCATTTGTCAGGTAACTATATAAACTTCAGGGACATAAAATGATTTACCCTTACAAGACACAGTGTGGTTAAATTAGCCTTATCTGTAATGGTTTAATTTTCCACAAAGAAAATGTTTAATATTAAGCAATTGATATTTTTAAGTTTGGTCCTGCTCTAATCCATTCACCACTGTTTCCAGAATGCTCCTACTAAAACACAAGTCTGACTATATCACTCTATTTTCAATTTTTAATGGTTCTTTATTGAATTCAACAAAGAATAAATATTTATTGAGTACTTAAATACTGACTGCTCCCCAATAAATGTCCTAAGATACAACTATACCAAACAAGTTGCTGTTCTCTGAACATGCCACACTTTCTCTCATCTCTATGTCTTTGTGCTACTTCCTCCCCAAACCCTCAACTTTTAGCCAAGCAACTCCACTTACTAAGGGAGATCAGATGCCCTCATGGATCACTGAGACTGGGTTAAGTACCCCTCCTCTCTGCATATTACCCTACCTTTAGATTTATCAAAACTGTAATTACTTGTTTATATAACTGTCTCCCCTACTATGCTTAAGACAGGAAATAATACCACAGTGTCAAGCACATAGCCAGTACTCAGTAAATATGTCTTGAATGAATGAGTTGTGAAAAGCAAAAAAGAGAGCTAAAAAGAAGTGGAAGTACAGGGCAGGACTAGAGTAGAGAGACAGAAAGAAGTTGCTGGGAAAATTAATCTTCTTTATTAATTTGGTAAAGGCTTATGAGATGTAAAAGACTCGAAAGGACCTTAGGAATTGTCTTAGCCTGCCTGAACTGTTATAACAAAATGCCACAGACTGAGTGGATTAAACAACAGATATTTATTTCTCACAAGTCTGAAGGCCAGAATTCAAACACTAAGATGTAGGAAGATTCAGTGTCTGGTGTGGACAGCTGCTTTCTTGCTGTTCTCACATGGTGAAGGAAGAGAGCTCTCTTATCTCTTCTTCTTTTTATAAGGGCATTAATACCATTAGGAGGGCCCCATCCTTGTGACCTAATCTAACCCTATTACCTCCTAAAGTCTCCAACTCCAAATATTATCACATTAGGGATTAGGGCTTTGCCATATGAATATTGAGGGGACACATTCAATCTACAGCAGGAATCAAAAAGTGAGAGTATTTTAGAGATCATATAGTTCAATATCCTCATTATATAAATTAGGAAAATATGACAATCTTATGAATTGATATGTCAATTCCAGACTTAGTTAATAAAGACACATTAAAATATAATTTAGGAAGCACTGACCTTCATATTCCTCTTCATTCTCAAGATAATCATCATCCAGAACATTCAGCAGTCTTAGCACTGGAGTTGGAAGCATCACCAGATCTTCAATATGAGGGGCTGTTAAAGTTCATTATAACATGGTTAAATGTAAATTCCCAAAATAAATTGAGGAACGTCAGGCAAAGGAACTTGGGAATAGAAATTAGTTCTAATGTCTTATTTGACTGTTAAATGACCAATAAAAAATAGAGATGTATACAACTTACCAAAAGGAATGCTAAAGAACGGGCTGCACAATGCCATTTCAGCAGGAATTCTTCTGCTTGGATCATCATGAAGCATGCTAAAACACAAAAACAGGTATATTTACAATTCTTATCAAATCTTTTGAAAATGCAACCACTAGAGAAAATAAAAATGTTTAAATGTTCATCACAGTATTAATTATATTAGCATGACTTGCTGAATCATTTACCTACAAAAAATATAAATGCTATTTATGAGTAAATGGTTCAATAAATCATGATACATACCTATGACATAATACATTTTAATATAAAATATTTCTGTTTAATAAATACAACATGGGAAAGTGATCCACACTCTATAACATTAAGTGAAAAAAAGGTAGACATAGATTTAAGGTAATCCAATTTAAAAAAAAAAGTGGTGAGATGATTTTTGAGTCTTGTCAAAAAGACTTGACAGCAAAATCAAAAACCTATGGACAACATTTACAACAAAACTAGGTACCCCAATAAACGCCAAATACCAGAGGCTGAGGACAAACCATCAATAGTAGTAAGCCTTGCACCATATTAGCATCTACGTGGAAGGAAGCAGAGAAAAGCAACAGTTGATCTGATGAACCAGAGGAAAGAATAACCCAAAATAGCCAACAGGTAATCACTGGGAAGCACAGTAAGCCAATTTGAGAAAAGCAGCTGAAACTATAAGGGGTTATACATTTTAATTCCAAGTGAAAGCAAGAGATCCTCTGTAAGATCTGAAGGGATTGGAGTAAACTAGACACTGTGACATCTCAAAACTAACCAGCTGAAACTCCCTTCCAGGGCAAAGTCCTGCAGAAAAAAGAAACCTTGGGACTTGAATCCAAATTGAGTAGGATGGGGTAAATAAAAATAGAGAGAGAGGGGGAGACACCTGGAAAAAAGTAAAGGAGGGGAAGAGGCAAGAGATCCTAGGGAAAAAACACCTTTTTTTTTAAACATTACACAAAAACAACAGAAGCAAGAGCCCTGTATAATAAGAAAAGTTATCTGAACTACACCTTCTTCTATAAGTTTAGGAACATGAATTTCATATAAAAATGAGTTTTATATTTTATAAAAATATAAAAAGTATTATAACAAAGTTATCATACAAAAAAAGAGAAATGCAAAATAACATCCCTCAGACAATGAATGCATGCCAGAAAGACATGACCACAACACAGACGAACATTATAACCTACTGTTTCAAAATGAGCTAAAGACATTTTTAAGAAATACAGGATATGAAAGAGCAACATAAACCAAAATTAGAAAATCTCAAAAATTAGGTAATAGAACTCAGGAAAGAAGTAGAAAGAAAAGAAAAAAAATCATTTCATAAAATAAGATTAAGCTAGAAGAGATACAAGAATGAATAAACACAAGAGATAATGTCAAAGATAAACAGAAGGCAGAAAGGAAGAAAGTTTTTAAAAATCAATAAGAAATAATGAAAGAGATAAAAAAAGATTCAAGAGAAAATGATAATACTGAATATAGTCAGAGAAAATCCAATGTATGTAGAATAGGAGTGCCTGAAGGAGAAAACCAAAGCAAGGGAACAGAATAAATACTAAAAACTGTAATTTAAGCACACTTTTCTAAAACAAACAAAAAGATCTGAAACTACGTATTTTCCTGAGATTATCGACCCAGAGCAATCAACACCTAAATATATTCCGGTAAAATTACTAGACTTTTAAGAAAAAGATGAAATCATTTGGGCCTCTAGACAAAAGGACCAAGTGACTTTTAATATAAAGACAATTAAGAGTGTCATCAGACTTTTCAACAGCAACACTATAAGCTAGAAGAAAGTGGAGTAATATATTTAAGACATTCAATAAAAGAATGTATACCAAGGAATTTTATATCCAGATAAACAGACTTTCAAGTACAATAACCACAGTTTAACTATTATTAACATGCCAGAACTCAAGAGAATATTAATCCTATGCTGTCCTAGAGAACAAACTTCAGCAAAATAAATGATTAGAGAGATATCAACACAAGGACCAGTGGTGAAATTAGATACATAGTTACACAGAGAACTAAGATTAAATGATAGTGTTAAAACACAGAGTATATAGTATATAACGGTTATATAATCTGATGATACACAACTATTTTTCAAATGGGGGAAGAATGGGAAAAGCATATGCAAAAATAACTGCCTTCAGTAACCTTACTAGAGTACTATTATTCTGAGACTGTTTTCATGTAATGTGGAATAAAGCAAATGAGTAATTATGAAATATTCTAATTCTGGAATTCCTTTTGTACTTAAGAACCAGAATTCTTGACATAGAAGAAAGGAGACAGAGACAGAGATGTAAAATAGAAGAAGATAAGTAAAAACTCTGTGGTCTTAAATTTGAATTGGAAATATTAGTATGAACTCTGTCCACTTAAAAGGACTTAGAAACAATGACCACCTCAGCAGCAATGAGTATGCCCAATACCCAGAATGTGGTTTTAAAATACCATTTCCTTCTAAAAGAAACCAAGCTTCTTGGAGAAATGGCTACTTCCAGGTCTGGGGCAGGAAATGTATAAGACGCACTGGGAGCATCTTGTCACACCGGATAGCAAGGAAGCTATCAAAGATAGTAAGGTCACCAAAATCAACTTGCAGAAGCTCACATGCATCAAAGATGGGACAATTTCAGCTTGAATTAGGATAAAAACTGAATGGATTGAAATGTATCAAATATACTTCAGTCCATTAGTTAATAATGATCCTTTAAACTTTCAAAAAGGGGGTGATCCCCTTTGGAGGATGACAGGAACCAACTCATTATGAAAACTAGTAAATAAAGAGAAAACCAAGCATCCACTTCATCTTTGGTTAACTAAATGAAGAACAAATGACAGAATAAAAACATCATCATTCTACAACCCTAACAAAGTAATGGATCTAGACACTGAGTATTAACCGTTGCTAATACATAAAATAGAGATGGCTACACTATGTGCCTCCTTATAAAAGAACATAATATCATCTACAGTCTACAGAAAAACAAACAAACAAACCTCTAGAAACAACTACTAATTTACAGGAAATGAACAGAAATATGTTAAACTACACCACAATAACACAATCAGCAAAATTCAGACTGTGGAAACAATACCAAGCCAAGAACCCAACTTGTTCAACAAATAAACAAGGGAAAAGCCAGGTAGGAGATGGAAAGGGACCTTTTAGAGTAAAACAGACTTAAAAGGAATTTTTTTTAAGAAGAGCAACACTAAACCATAGTGTTTAAGGATGTACACTTTAGGTACCAAAACTATCATGAAAACATGGAATTACCATAAAAGTCAGGGTAGTGGTTACTTTTAGGGAGGAAGAAGGGGCTTGAGACTGGGATGGAGTACACAGACCCCTTCTGGGGTAGCTGGCAAAGTTCTATTGCGTGACTTGAACGATGGATACAAGGGTATTCCTAACGATTCATTAAGCTACACATTTGTCTTCAGTATCTGTTTTATTTTACAATAAAAACAAAGGTTCAAATAGTTTTGCCTGCATACACAACAAAATATGCAGAAAGATACTGAAAAGAAATAGCACCAAAGTGCTAACACTAGGAAAGTCAGTTTATAATTTTTATTTTCCTCATCATAATTTTTTGCAGTTTCCAAATTTAGTATCAGTTAGTTGTATATAACCAAGAAAAAAAAAAAAAAAAGCCCAAATAACAAAGTCAATACTAGAACTTAGATGATTTGACTTCCAAGCTAGAATCCGTTACGTAATTTTACGCTATCTTTTCAATGTAAAACTCAACATGTAGTATCTAATACCAATCAGATACTAACAGCTATTTAAAACTAATTTGTAAAACACACACACACACAAATAAGTGCAAGTAAAATTGGTGAGATCTGACTAAGTTCTGTGGACTGTAATGTCAATTTCCTGGTTTTGATATTGTACCGCAGTTATGTAAGATGTTACCATCAGGGGAAACTGGGTGAAGGATACACAGACCTCTCTGTGACATTTTTGCAACTTTCTGCAAATCTTTAATTATTTCAAAATAAAAAGTAAAGAAAACTAATTGGAAGGTTTACAGGGTCAATATTCCAAAGAAACAATACTCTGACTTGATCAAGAGATCCACCCTTTTGCATTTTATAAAATGAATTATTTTATTCATTTCTGGCCCATAATGCTAGAAATGTGAAAAGTTAACTATCTGATAATACACATTATTTCTCATTTTTAAATATTTATTGTGTTTGAATCTACTAAAAAATCAGAAACACTATGTCTATCTCCAGAATTTTCAATGGTAATTATTTAAAGTATAATACATAACTACCTTATTTGAAACATTTTTTTTGGTAGTCCAAAAGCAAACTTAGTCTTTAGTTAATAAACACTCTCTTTAAAAACCTATTTTCCATCAAGTCTATAGAACTGCCAGAGCCACGAGAAGCCAAAGGCACAGTGTCCCATCATTTATCTTCCAGTGAATAAAACAGCTGCCAGGAAGAGCCTAACACCTGGAACTCACCGTGAACAAAAGAACATTCCTTTGAAAATAAATTTAGCAAAATGACTTGACCACTTATGTTTCTTATAGGAAGCTTGCCTGTATAGAATATCTAAAGTAAGATTCTTTATTTATAAGGGAGCAAAACCTGTACATGATCAAGCAAACCAGAAATAATAATATAAATCCATTCAATTAAAAAAATTGCTTTATATAGTAAATACACGCAAAGCAAGTTTAAAGTACATTAATGTACCTTTTGATAAGGTCTCTTAGGTGATAGGCTGGAATTGCGGCATTCACCACTGCTTTACTGGCAAATATGTGATCAATAATAGCAGAACTGTTTGCCTAAAAAAAAGGGAGAAAAGTCTTCCTTTGGTTATTCAATTCGGTCAGTATTTACTGAGTCCCCAGGCACACAGAGCTGTACCATTTGGTAAGTAAAATGCAACAGAAAACACTCTTCTTAGAGCTTACACTCTTAATGGAGGAGATTATGTACATAATTATAAGCTTCTAGAGAGGAGGAACATTTTTTCTCTATTCTCAGCACCTAGCACACACAGTACCTGGCACTCTATGAACATTTACGAGATGAATGAATAAAGAAACAAATACTGGGCCGGCCCCGTGGCTTAGCGGTTGAGTGCGCGCACTCCTCTACTGGCGGCCCAGGTTCGGATCCCGGGCACGCACCGACGCACCACTTCTCTGGCCATGCTGGGGCCGCATCCCACGTGCAGCAACTAGAAGGATGTGCAACTATGACGTACAACTATCTACTGGGGCTTTGGGGAAGAAAAAAAAAAAAAGGAGGAGGTCTGGCAACAGATGTTAGCTCAGAGCCGGTCTTCAAAAAAAAAAAAAAAAAAAAAGAAAGAAACAAATACCAAAGCAACTACACAAAAGTGTAGTTTAATGCAAAGTGAGAAAATGAATGGGTGATAGTTGAGTCAGAGTGTCTCTTAGTGATGAGTCTTCAATTGGTTTTCAGATAGAAATAAAATGAACTATCAAAGAGAAAGTAAGGCAGTATTTAAAAACTGCATTTGTCACATTATTCATACTCTAAATCCTATGCAACGTAACATTTTTCTCCCTGAATACTATGCTATTTCAGAATTTGGAAGTGTGTACGTACATGACTAAAGAGACCTGATACCACCATTATCACTAAAATTTACTGAATGCTTACTAGGGGCCACACACTATGCTAAGAACTAGGTATCATTTCTTTTTTAACCTCAATACTCTTATAAGATATATGCTATTATTATCCTCATTTTACACACGGTAAACCATAGTTTAGTAAACCTAAATAAATAACTTAGTGAGAGGTGGAGACAAGATATGAACCCCAGTAGTTTGACAATCAGATTGTCATGCCTCCAATTTCACACAAAATGGCTGAATGTGACCTAGTTCTGATCGGCTCTGGCCCAAGCAGAAACAGTCCAAAGGGCTCAAAGATAGTCAAAGCTAATGCAAGTAACAGATCTGTATTTAGATTAGCACTAGAGAAAGAATACTTAACCTCTTGACTGTCTGGGATACCAATGACAAAAAACGATACTGGTTTTACCTGCATGACAGCGTTTTTTTTGCCAAAAGTAAGAATTAGGTATAGCCACGAGGCTATTAAAGCATTCCTTCCAGGAATACTTCCAGAAATAGATGACTAGGGGTTTAAAAGAAATAAAACTCTATATGGTACACAGCCATACACTAACTATATATTAGATGCTTAAAAAAAAACTTGTTGTGGGGCCGGCCCAGTGGCATAGGGGTTGGGTTCGCACGCTCCACTTTGGTGGCCCGGGGTTCACAAGTTTCAATCCCAGGCACGGACCGACACTCCGCTTGTCAAGCCATGCTGTGGCGGCGTCCCATATAAAGTAGAGGAAGATGGGCACGGTTGTTAGCCCAGGGCCAATCTTCCTCAGCAAAAAGAGGGGGATTGGTGATGGATGTCAGCTCAGTGCTAATCTTCCTCAAAAAAAAAAAAAAATTGTTGTTTAATATAAAAACCAATAATAATTCCTAAACATTGCATTATTTCTCAAACCTCCAACCTAAAGGCTACTGATATCATCATAACATTGAAGCCCCACAATACATGTGAAAACAAATGTAGTTAATTCTTAACTTACAAACACATAAAAAGTTCATTCCTATGTCAGCGAGTTGCAATTTAGAACTCATGTTCCCACAGAAACAATGTCATAAGTCACAGTCACTTTACCAGGACGGTTCACATATGGAACATAAATAAATTTGAAGCAATGTAGAACTGTGGACAGAACACTAACCTTTGAGTAGGAGAAAAAGAATTTGGGGGCCAGGTCTGAAATATCCAGTTGTATGATCTGGAACAAGTGGCTTTACATATCTATGCCTCCAGTTTTTCATTTGTAAAAGAATAACCAATATCCACTCTAACGATCCTCATAGAATTGTTAAGAGAATTCACTAAGATTATGCATTAAAATGCTTTTTTAACTATAAAACATTAACTGTAAAGCATGATGTAAAAATTATCATTCAACTTATAATGTACTGTTGTATTAGTAATATTTCAGAAGGTAATATAATTAAATTACTAAACAAAAGCAGTCACTTTTGCTTCTTTGGGAAAATGCATTCATTCAAACATTTTATCAAGCACTTACTACATACCAGGCTCCAGGCTAGGAACAGTGAGCTTGCGATGCTCACTAACACATTTGTAGCTATGGGAGTGAGTAGTGGCATTTAAGGTCCCAAAAATGCAGAAAGAAGAGTATGGAGGAGATGAAGTAATCAGAGTCCTCAATGAAAATCATTATAAATTGAGTCCTCTTAAATTAGAATTAAGGAACCAAAAGCAAAGCACTGGTGCAGTTTACCTTCCATTCCTGAGATCTGACTGTATGTTTCAGTTTCATTCCTGAGAACATTTCCAGTAAAATGATTCCTAGGCTCCACAGATCAACAGCTGAGGTACATTCTGTATCACTCTGCAGGCCAGCCTGGGCCAAGCAATTCTGCAGTTCTGCTTCTGGGGCCCGATACCCGTCTGTTTGAATATACTTTACATCCTAAAGAAGATAAGTAAACATTACAACTGACAAAAAACTGCTCACTTTCCTTCCATCTCTACAGTGTATTTGTTCTCTAAAAGTGCAGTAAACCACTGCCAAACTGAAGGCCAAAAAATTTTTAGTCCTTGGCTACCACCGTTCTTTGGTTCATTAACTGGGCAGTTTTCACAGACAAGCTGTGCACTTTCCACACAGCTGCTTGTTTCTTTAGATAGTCTCTTGCCTGCTAGACCCTACTAATAAACAAGGACACTCTGCAAAGAGCTGACAAACCAAGGAGAACGGAGGGTTTGCCAGAACTGTGACATGTGTTCTGCCACGAGATAGAGTTCCAACACTGAAGACACCAATAACAATAACTCAGCAATTAACTAAATGCTCAAGAATAAAAGAGCATTTTACGTAGGTGAAGTACTCTTAATAATTCCAAAGCCCTCTTGTACTTCACTAGCTCCCCCTACCTGACCCAAAGGTTTTTACATAGTGGCAATGAAATTCTGCTTCATCTCCAGGCATTTCAGTATTTCAGATAGAAATGTCTCTGAGGTCTCTAACGAAGCGCCCCTATTATTAAAGTACTTCTTACCTGATTGCCTTCTTTGAAGCTAAGTCCAAAGTCAATGAGTTTAAAACATTCATTCTCTGCACTCCACAATATGTTACGTGGTTTGAGGTCTGCATGGACATAACCCTCATGATGAAGAAAAGCAAGGGCCTCCAGAACATCTCTGGCGCAATGCTGTATCATCCACATGGAACAACCCTGGTGACTGGAATATAAAAGCAATTCCGAAACACTGACATCCAGGAGTTCAAGCAACAGACAGCGTGATGGCACATTCGGAGAGAAGTGGATTGTAAAGACTCCATATAAAGTCACTAGAAAAAGAAACGAATTATACTACTTGAAAATCAGTCTCAGAGTAAGTTACTACTTAAGTAGATAACTCTGCAGTACAAATTTGGGATAGTCTAGATAAGGATAACTTTGATGAGCAAGTAAGCTTCTCCTGTGATTTCTTCTTCCCATGAATAAGATTTCTGGGCAATTGGGTTATTTTAATAAAATGAGACAACCTTCAGCTGATTACTATTCAAAGTTATTAAATAGGGCACAACAATTCAAACTGTGTTTCACCAAGCACTCAATGGTGAGTGAATCGGCACTTAGGGTGCCAAGCAAAAATGATCAAAAGTAAAAATCCAAATATTAAGTACTCTTAAGATGAATGTCACAACGTGCAAGAACAAAACTGAAGATTGGTTCTTGATCCAAAATAGCACTCTATAATCTAAATATTAAAAGAACAGATTAATACTTTCAAGATGACATTTTAACCCAATCTTGCAGAGATTCAACAAGTCCTTAGGCCTGCAAAACCTGCAAAAAATTTCCCTCTTAAATACTAGGGTTATATACACTATTTAGCAAGCTTAAAAAAAAAAAAAAAAAAGAAGCAACACTAGTGTTAAGAAATTCTTCTCCCAAATGGTAATATAAAAAAGCTCACACTTCAAATTAAACATGGATTATGCTTGCCAGGAAGTAAGACATTTCTTTATTAGTCAAAGCTATAACTAATTATAAGCTCTCTGTTGGTGTAATGACAATGAACACTGTTTTCATAGACCAACCATCAGTAATCATTACACAACTTACATTCTGAATACCTGAATCATGAAACAGAGTCCCACAGGGTAAAAGTATCAAGTGCTCCTAATTTTCACACTTCCTAAGGACTTCTAGGTAATACTGAGTCATTTCTCCCAAATCCATACTAAGCATGCATCAGATAATAATCTATATGAGTTACTGATGTCACAAGCCCTAGAAATATTTCCCATTTTTCACTGGTATGCAAGGATTCAAAAATTTCCATACAAGACATGACAATCTAGCAAAGATATGTCTCCTTTCACTAGAGAAGATACTTCTCTATGCTAATAGATGCAGCATTCTCCGATGAGACCTGAAGCAACACAGAACTTACTGAGCATCTACTATGTGACATGGGCAAAGCAGACCACCAACTCCACCGTACTGCAGACAGTGCAAGGGGGAAAGAGGGATGAGAAGGGCGCCTGGATCGGTGATAATGAGAGGGCCAGAGCCACCTCTCCCGCTAAAGGACGGAAGACCGAACGCCAGGCTGAGAGGGAGTGCACGCTGGGACTGGGACCTGGGCGAGAAGGGAAGCGACAGCAGCAATTACCGATGTTCCTGTGACCCTGCAACTGCTCCAGCGCCGCCCTCTCTTTGCGGAAACCATACTCGGCGGCCGAGGCAGCAGCCCCGGTGGTCCCCGGCGGTAAGAACTGCTTGAGGGCGCCGGGGGGCGAGCCGGGTGTGCCGCAGCAGCGCACCCGGTACACCGAGGCCGAGGAGCCGCTCCCCAGGCGGCTCTGTACCTGCCACAGCCGCCCGAAGGCTTCCAGAAACCGCGGTGGTTCCGCGCCCCACGCGCAGCCGGATCCCGCCATCGCTGTGGACTGAGGGCACTGGCACAGGACCTGACGCGACGCCCGGGACAGGCCGGCAGGGCCCGCGGTCACATCCCCGCCCGCCGGACCAGCGGCTCCGCAGCGAGGGGCCTGCAGCCGCCTCACCGACTGCCCGGACCTCAGGCCGCCATGACACCGGAAACGGTACGCCCCCGGCGCCCAGAAGCCGGAAGTGGAGGAAGCGCCAATCCTACCGGCTGAAGGAGGCGGCCCAGAAGGGGCGGGGTCTAGAGTTGACTCGATGATTCGGTTTAGAGAAGAGAACTGAGGGTGAGAGGGAAATACCCCGGTTACTAAAGGAAAGGGTTTACCACCGCCTCCAAGCCCATGGTTACTAGGAGGCAGCATTCTGGATGCCCTGGCGCTTGTGCTCCTCTTAGTCCACCTTGCCTATGGCTGCCTCATCAAAAGCATCCACGCTGGGCAAACGTGGATCTTTTACAAATTTTTGTTTTTCGTGTATTCATTCAATTCTTTTACTCATTCAACAAACGTTTACTGAGCAACATATGTAGCCAATAGGAATCTCAATCCCCAAGCTAGTGTGTGTAATAAATGTAGCCTCCCTTACTTTTCTGTAATTCACCTTTTTCTGGTTTAAGCTCCCTTCAGATGGGGTGGTAGAAACTTCATCTCAGACAATTTGCCCCCATCTCCTTTTTCTCATGTTTTGTCCACGTTTCCAGGTAAGTGGGGTGGCCAATGTAATGCAAAGTGGAGAGGTTGAGAGGCCATCTGCTTTTCAGTTTCATCGGTTGTCATCTTGTCTGGGTGCCACTGAGATGTGCCTTATATCTGTCTGCATGGCACTATCAGGGTCTGGAGTAGGGAGAGCTCTGTGCACTCTCCTGCTATTTATAACAAGCATTTTCTCTATGTCTGAAGTCCATACCAATCCCTTGAGAGCCTGGGTTTTTGGAATACTAAAATCAAATAAAACTCACAGGCTCCTCTACAGGCAATAAGCACAGCCATTTATCTGCTTGTATAAAAGGAGGGCAAAGTCGGGAAACTGGGGCGTGGGGAGGAAGCTTAGGTGCTGAGTAGAGGGAAGAGACAAAATAGAAATGAACTCTGATTTTAAGGAACTTGGAGTTGATAGAATGAATTAGACATGCGTATCATTATGAGCCAAGGTGTAAAAGTAAAAATGCTCTAAAGGAGGTGCAGGTAAATTGCTAGGACTTCTTAGAGAAACTCTGAGCAACTCACATGTTAGAAAAGTGTGCGTGAAAAGAAGCATTTCATTCCAGTCTATCTTGTTGTAATAGTATGTATTGCAATCAGAGACAGAAAGTAAATGCTGAACTTTTAGAAGTTGACTAGGTCCTCCTTGTGAAAAATACCCATGGTTGCAGTCCATATCTTGGTTACATGTAAGCCCTTTTCCTGAATGCTAGAAGCAGACATTATTAGTGTGGAAATATTCCCCACTAAAGCTTTATTTCTTTCTGCATTTCCAACTTCTCTTATACTATGATGCCTTCTCATTGCTCCCTTGTTAACAAACAAGGTAAAGGAACTAAATTATATCATTGAGCCACATTTGAATGTGGCACCAAGAATAATCCAAAACAGATATGCCTTGGAATCTCTTTAAAGAAGGACTGTCCCATATTTTAATTGTTGAACTCTTGACGATCCAAATCTTTCAAGCATGAAGGTAATGACTCTGTGGTAGCCAATCTCCAAAATGGCCCCCAATGATCTTTGTCTCCTAGTATTCACATTCTCTTTTAGTCCCCTCTCACACTGAATAGGGCTGACCTGTGTAACCAATAGGATATTGTGGAAATGGTGGTGTATGACTTCCTATGTCATAAAAGACATTGCAGCTTCTGCATTGCTATACCTTTGATCACTTGTTTTAGGGAAAGCTAGCTGCCTTGTCATGAAGACCATCAAGACTTCTCCCATGGAGAATTCTACATGGTGAGGAACTGAAGCTCCTGCCAACAGCCATGTGAGTGAGCCATCTTGGAAGCAGATTTTCCAATCCCAGTCAAGCCTTCATATGACTGCAGCTCTGGCTGAAATCTTGGCTGCAAATTTATGAGAGAGCCCCTAAGCTAGAACACCCATCTAAGCCACTTCTAAATTTAGTCCTACAAAAATTATATGCGATAATATATGTTCATTGTTGCTTTAAGTTGCTAAGTAATTTTTAGAGTAATTTATGTAGCAATAAAAAACTAGAGACTAGAAAGGAATAAATAATTAATGTCACAAAACTTAACATTATTACAAAATTACTTTGTAGACCAGTTTTGTACATTTATGCTCTAACGAAGAGTGCATGACTTACCATACCCATATCAATATGAAGCATTATTACTAAAAATTTTTCTCTTTAATTTTATAATCAAAAAATGGTATTTTGATATAGTTTTTATTTTTTGTTGTTATTAGTATACCCTTTTCATACTTTTATTAGATATTTTTATTTTCTCTTCTGTAAATTGTCTTGCGTGATCACCTGATACATTTCCTTTTTCCTTTTAGTTTCCTTCACTCCTGTTGTCTTTCTCCTTAGATTCTCTCCTTTCCACATGGCTGGTACAGACCAGGAAATAAATACCAGAGATTCACTTGAAATTCCAGTCTCTAACTGGAAGGAATCTACCGCTCCTCTCTTACCCATTCTTTCTTCTCTCCTGAATGGTGTCTCTTTGCAATGTGCTATGAATTGAATGACTGTGTTCCCCCACAATTTCATGTGTTGAAACCCTAATTCTGAATGTGATAGTATTTGGAGATGGGGACTTTGGGAGATAATTATATCATGAGGGTGGAACTCTTATGATGGGATTAATGCCCTTATAAGAAGAAATGCAAGAAAGCTTGCTTCCTTTCTCTGCTCTCCACCATATGAAGATACGATGAGAAGACAGCTGTCTATAACCTAGGAAGAGAGCCTTCACTAAAAACCCGACCATGCTGGTACCCTGGTCTTGGGCTGCTAGCCCCCAGAATCGTGAGAAATAAATGTTTATTGTCTAAGCTACCCAGTCTATGATAATTTATTATAGCAGCTCTGACTGTGTAAGACACAGCGGTTATCATAAACTTTGGCCACCTGAGGATGCCTATAATAGAATCTGTTTTTTCCTGGCATTGGAAATATCTGTTTCAAGAGACTTTGTTCTGGTTACTTTCTTCTACACCCTCAGGTAGGTGGACCAATCTGTAGTCTGTCACAACATTGCCCATCTTTTCAATTCCCACATCCCCTTCAGCATCAAAAGCAGCTTTAGAAAGAGCTTGAGCCAGGTACTTTGGCACTTTCTCTGTAGGTCTAGAGACCAAACTCTGTCTTCAGAGTCAGACCTGATTTCAATCTACAACTTACTGTCTATGTGACCCTAAGTAAATTAACCAAAACTCTCTTGGCCCTAGTTTCTTTGGCTAATTTTAAGATGGGATGGAATATATGCTTTTGTCGTAATTAAATAAATGTAAATTATTTCATGATTATCTCATGAAGTACCTAACATATAGTAGGTTCTCAGCAAGATTTGCTCCTTTCACTTATTTCTGTAATTCTGTGCTTGGACTTAGAGAGCCCATTAGAACAAAATAGAACCTTCTCGTCATGATTTCTCCTCAGTGGACTGCAGAGATGCTACAAATGACTAATTGTATTCCTTGACACCACTTCTAAATATTTCCTCCAGCTATTCTGTCCCTTGTGATATCTGAGGGACCTGAATCACATTTCCTCTCCCTGTCCAAGTTTACTGGCCTTCAGATGGAAGAGGATAATGTGGGGCAGGAGATTCATCTTGCAGGCCCTTTTTGGAAAGTCACTGTGGGCCAGCCATGACAGGGAATTGCATCAGCTCCAGATGTTTGAATTTGATATCTTAATCGACTGGAGGCTACTGGTGACTCAAGAGATCTGGGAGGAGTTTAGAGTTTAGTTTAGAGAGTGCGTTGGTTCCCTCTGTTGTTACAATGGAGAAATTACAGTCACTGAGGGCCTAGAGGGAAGTCATAAAGCACTGCAGAAATAGTCTCCAAACTCAGAATAAAACAGGGATAGGGAGGATTTTTTTCTCTGGGTTGTAAAGGGGTGGCTGAGAGGGACAACTGACTTACTCACTGGGTCTAATCCCAGAATCACTCTCCTTGGCCACATGGCACAAGAGAGCTAGCCAGGTTCATTGATGCTGGAGCCGCACCGTCAGAGCCCCAGGAGGGGCAGAGCGACTTGGGGAGGAAAAGACTAATCTGTGATCAAAAGGGAGACACAGTTTGGGAAAAGATGAAAACTAACTTTTTAGAGCACTTTGTAAGCTGATACATCGTGAGACCCCTTTGATAAACAAAAGCTCTTTATAAAAATTGTAAAATCATTGTTTCCTATCTACAACCCTATATTACCCTTTGTAGTTATCTTCCAAAAAGAAGTATGGCAAAACTTAACAGAGAACACTTTTTCTTCAAACTACTTTGGGATCAAAAGCCCAAAGGAATAAAATGAGGGATGGAAAAGAAAAGAAAGCAACTCAGATATGCCTGTGGTTGGTTATGCCTTTTCCAGCTCTCATTTCTGTCAGGATACAACAAGGTAATATGCATGAGAAGAGTTGGAAAGCTATAAAATATGGTATTGTTATTTGCCTATAGAGATGAAGGCAGCAAAAGTGGAGAAGTCACAAATAGAAGATCATGTAAGTCTCCAGCTAGCTCTTGTATGAAAAGTAGGTGCTTAATAGTATTAGTGAGTCTAAATAGTAGAAAGACTTATTGCTCAAGCCACTAATGAAAATCAGTGTGGTCTTGACTTTTAGACCAAGAGAGACTGAATATTCTAGAGAGAGAATTGTGGGGCCCAAATCCAGAAAGGTAGAAAAGCCTGGTAGCTTGAAACCATTCATCCATTTATTCATTATTTCAATAAATATTTATAAAGAACTACCAGAAATTCCTGGGCAAAGAACTCGTAGTCTAGTGTGGGAGACAGATAAGAATCACGGGGGAAAAAAGTACAGGTGAAGGATTATGCTTAGACCATAAGAAAAAGCTCATCATTTGAGATTGGAGAGAGTTGTGAGATAATGAGTGTGGGGAGACTGGTCTGATGAACCAAAAAATGCTGATGACCCAAGCCTCTATTAAGGTGGTGTGATATCATCATTGGAAGAGGAGAGA